AGATAGATAGATAGATAGATAGATAGATAGATAGATAGATAGATAGATAGATAGATTCTCAACCTTGGCAGCTTTGAGATGTGTGAAAGTCCAGAATTCCCCAGCCAGCCAACATGCCAGCCAGCATGTTGACTGGGGAATTCTAGGAGTTGGAGTCTACACATCTTAAAGTTGCTAAAGTTGAGAAACACTGGTCTAATGATAACTGTATCTAACTCTGTACACCACAACTACAGATTCCTGCTCTTGTATCTGGAAAGATTATTGAGAGAGAATAAGAAGCACCTAATGGAATTGCAAGAAGATTTGGGGAAAAGGGCAAAATAAATCTTCCTATAGCCAGGAAGCAGGGATTCACGTTTCTGCATAATATTTGGACCCTTTTCAGAGCTAACAGGAGAACAAATTACTCCTAATAAAAAACAGCTGGAATGTTTTATGAAGTCATTAATTTGGATTCAGAATAGCCATTCCACAACAGGCTTCTATGAGCTGTCTGTTCATATGATTAGCAGCCTTTAGCTCCTTTTCCCATATTGGAACAATAAGAATCGGCTTGAGATCCTTTCCTACAGCTTCCTTGTTGAGGAGCCCAAATTAGGTTTTTTCTCTTCCTGTCCTGCCTAATTCCCAAATGCCTGCTGGCCCTAATAAAAATCTTTAATTTCCTTTCGTGTTAAAAGTACAGTATGGAGAGAGGACTATCATTCAAAGTGATTTGCTTATTCTCAGTTTTTTAAAAGCCTCCAAGAGTAATTGCTGTCATATGAAATGCAGAACCAGGATTTTTTAGCCATTGCTTGTGCAAGCCATAATAAGAGAGTGTCCCAAACTCACTTATCCAAAATCAGTCTAATCAGATTATGGTTTAGTGTTGTCTTAACCAGACTAATAGGCTATCTAATTAAAAAGCTGCTAATTATTGTTTTGTATTCCAAGAGAAGATACAGAGTGGTTGTAGATGACAATGCTGGTGACATGGTTTTCACCCAGGTGTATATTAATGCATTGTTGTTTTATATTGCTTGTAAAGATAACTGAATATGCTATCCTATAAAAAATGATCAAACAATAACATCCTGCCTATAGAAGACGTATTACAAAATGTCAACAAATAAGGAGTGGTTCATATATTAATTCAGGTTGTATGTTACAGAGGTAAATGCATACAGACTGGAAATGGAAGGAATTACAGTCAAGGGTAAAGGATGTCCCAAGCCAATCAAAACCTGGGTACAGTGTGGTATTTCTATGAAAATTCTGAATTCCCTGAAAAAGTAAGTAAGCAAAATGGAAAGAGCTTATATATTTTACGATTATGAAGAAATGTGGAGAGATTTGCAGTGTACAGCAAAAAGAATTTTTATTTATTTTATTTATTTATATTTATTTTTTTATTGTTTGTAGTGAACCGCCCAGAGTTCCCCTATGGGGGGGAGATGGGTGGTTGAAAAATTTGGTAAATAAATAAAAATTCTTTTTGCTGTACACTGCAAATCTCTCCACATTTCTTCATAATCGTAAA